GACACACACACACAGACAACCTCTCGTCAATATGCGTTTTTCGCATTGCATTGCTGCAAAAAAGGCGTAATAATGTAGGATCGGCAATATCCAGGCTAGCATCACCACCCATTAGTACACTTTTTATTAGCTTGAATATGTAAATCGTATGTATGTCTCCTCAAGAATGAAACGAAGCATGGCCTTAACTTCATCCTTAATGTAAAATATAACGTCACTTGTAAATTCGTCAGCATACCGGATTTGGGTTTTACCTAGGCCAACATATTCTTTACCCGAATTGTTGAAGCAAAAGTCAATAAGATAAAAAGGTTGTCAATAATGTAAGAAATCGGTAGACTGATGAAAGGTTGCTGAAGTCTGCGGTGTATAAATATTCGATAGTATTGCCTAGTGTAGTGAGCTTTTGCACCACTGTTAGTGAACTGGTGATGCCAAAATAAACGGGCTGCCCATTGCGTGTGGCTGTTTGGATACAGTAATTAGGGAAATGAGTCTTAAAGTGAAGTAATAGGCGATGCATAGTAATAGAAAGGTTTCGCAGGGATGATTTATTTGCCGTCGCTATGAATCTATGTTCATAGGGATTCTTATGGAGCTTTGGAACAGCACAGATGAAGGGGATGGATGTGTCATCACCCGTGGTGTGAAGTTGAAATTTACTTAGAATTTTGTGGTGATCGGTGAAAGTTGTTGAATGGAAAACGGTACCGGCCTTGAATGCGATTGGGTGTGGTCAAACCGAGCTCACTGCAGTGCAGCACAGCATAGTACTTTTTGCATATAATTATGTGGTTGTTTGGCGCCTTTTCAACAGAAGTTAAGTTTGTGAAATTGATAGAAGATGTGGCAAATTTTCTGCAAATGTTTGCCCAATGACACTTGCGTACATCTCATGTGGATTCATCTCAGCTGATGACGAACAGAGATTTAACAAAGGTAAATATCTGAAAAGCCACACACCCGACGGACATCCGTTTTCTATTAAAGAGAGGAGGCTTGACTAAACAGCAGACGTAAAAATGTCAGGATGCCGCTACGACTGCATTACAGTTACAAACCGAAAGATGTGTGGGGTTTCTCCACTAAATGTCGGGCCTGAATCGGAATCGGGCCGGCTGGTAAATGGTGTCACTATCCGGATCCTGTGATAGGTGAGCTTCTTACTGTTGCCGAACCGTGATAACGTCTGATGTAATTTGTGAACTGCTTAAAACATCTGTTAAGATCCTAGGCTGGATACATGGCCTTAATTTAAGCTTTCGCGTAACTCTTAATTTGCAGCAATATACATTACATCAGCACCAGTTAGGGTAATAATCATAACAGTTTTCAACTTTCCTTCTCCCACTTTACTTAACGATAACAGGCCTATCATAATCTCATAGCTATATTCAGCTGCCTGCCTAGGCAAATTTACACTTCCACGGACTTATGCAACAAGAGCACTGCCCAAATCATCCTGCTCACATATGAGCTGTTTGCTGTGTTAAGACGTTACCTCGTAAGTTCCTCTTACAAATTAAGTTATAAATATCTGTGGGACTCTCCCTGCTTTCGGCTTCAAATAAATCCTGGGAGCTCCTGCGTTGGTTACCGGTTAAAAGACGGCCGGACAAGGAAGGCCGGGGTCGCTTGGCTTGCAGGAGTATTTTGGGCATCGATCACTGCCCCATTCTGCATCGTTTCTTGCTGCCTTGTTCAAAGCTCAGGAATGAAAGACGAAGAGATTGCCAGTTTACCATAAAAATGCTGCTATTACAGTGCTGGAATCTTCCGAAAAAGTTTCTTGCACATAATTCACTTTATTCATTTCTCTTCCAAGCCGTGCGTTTGAGAGTTTCAGGAGAGCTCACAATTCGATGTGAGGTTCATTCCACAGGGTGCTACCACTGAATTGTTCGGCGCATAGTACTCATTTGAAGAGCGCTTGCAGGCAGGAACATCCCAGTAACATCACTGACAAACAAAACCCTGACAGCCCGGGTACTTATAATATGCCTGGTACTAATCTTCCTTTGCCCCTCCTCTTTTTTCCTCTTCTCCTCCTTGCGCTGAAGACTGCTATGAGTAATATAAATATTAGATCATGAATGATAAAAAACTCTCTAGTGCCAGTTGATTTTGAGATATGAGCGGAAACATTTCACATGTAATGTCATATCATCACAAGCATCGTAATAAGATACTCGTGAATTTTTACAGTAACACGTTATTGCCAAATTCACTGTACCAAGAAGTTCAAGGTGCTACACGCTCCTGACAAAACGCGGTTCCAGATAGTTCGCCTCTACTCGACAGTCAGTTCTTTGGCACCTGAGAGCGCAACGCCGAAATGAATTGGTGGAGCCAGATAAAGGAGAGCAACAAGCGAGCAACACCAGAAAGTCCAGTTTGTTGCCGCTAGTAGTCGTGTATTTCGTTTTGACTGATTTCTATAAGAATTTGGCCGCACCACTGTCACAATGGCTTTTTCCAGTTAAGTGTGCACGCGAACAATCGCCGATAGTAGCTCTCCGCTCCATTCTTACCTCAGTTTTTAAGCGTTTTTACATATCACGCAAATGCAAAGACGCATATTATTAAAACTGCGCCGAAATTCGTCGGACTGCGTTTCTGCAGCTTTCACAGTGCGCTCGACCACGTCATCGGAGCATTCAAGCATAATTTTGAAGCAAGTTATTTTTTTAAAAACACTTAGATATTTTTTAGCATGCGATGGCCGCGGCTTCAATTAACACTCGCGCATCTTATCAAACTACTGACGATCCGCGGTGTCTCGCCAATAATGTGTTCCGGTGCCAATGCCGGTGGATTAAGCAGCTTGTTCTATGGGCTGGGGCTTGGTGCTCCAGGTCAAATGTATGTCTCTGTTTGCTATCTGCTTTTTCATCACATCCATGTTTGGAAGCGCTTCTGGATGGGTGCGCATGAGCAAACAACGCACAAAGCGTCCAGAATGAATACTTTGCGTATGCTTGAGGGTCCCTTTTTCTAGTCAAGTAATGAGTTAAACAAGTATTTGAGTTTCTTAGTGCATACACTGCTACTACAACCTCTTTCTGCACCTTAGGTCTTTCTCCACCGCTCTTCGCTCTCCATTTACATAAGACCGATTTGAGGGAGCTTTGAGAAACTCAAATGACTTTTTCTGCACTACCGTTAAATCCGATTCTGCGTATTGGTTCTTGCTATGTTTCTATGTGTTTTTGCATATTTATACAAATGCAGAAACGCATATTGTCAAGAAATTGTCAAAATATGTATCTGTGTGTTTGCTTATGTGTGTATAAACTTTGTTGCCCACTTTTAACTCCAGAACCAAAGTTAGGAGCTGCAACTTTGCGAGCATGTCTCTACCCTATGTGCAACCTCTGCCTATCCTAAAGTATACGCTTGTGCATGCCTTCTGGCTGTTTCAAATGAAGAAGTTTTGGAAGGGAAGCGGTCTTGAAAACTGGACAAAATAGAGAGCGGAGGCTGCGCAGATATTCCTTTACATGTGCAATTTTACGTTAAGCCGCATCTACAGAAATGTCTAAGTTCCTCTTTGGCATCGGGCCATTTCAAGAATCAGCAACAAAATGATAGCTGTAATTTTACAAAAGTGCTTGTGTATTTTGCGCGTCGCTAAAAATGTAAAATCAGCTTCCAAAAGTGCCTGCATATCACTTACAGATACGGCGATTCTAAGTGTACAAAATTTCCCACAGCTTCTCCTGACCGGTGATCATACATGTCACTGAGATGTATGATCACCGGTCAGGAGAAGCTGTGGGAAATTTTGTACACTTAGAATCGCCGTATCTGAAAGCGATATGTAGGCAATTGTGGAAGCTTTAAACTCTTGAAACACACAGAAATGGGTAAGGAGCATGCCCATAAAATTTTACCACTTTAGCATGCCTAGTTTCTGAAGTCGTTTTCCTGCCAGAATATTTTTAAATTGTCCGCAGGTGAGAATGGAAAAAATTCAATATGTATTTTACTTCTGAGGTCCCACCCGTAGTGGTAGGCATCTATGTTGCCAAAACTCCAGCTTTTCGGCTCTCGTAGATTTCGAGCTCGAAATATGCGGGCAGTCGTTGCACACACGTAAAAAAAGTATGCACGTCTTTGCACAGTATGCGTTTTTGAATTGTACAAAAGCAAAAAAAAAACGCATAAAAATCACAGCGCAGTAGAATGAGCAAGACAAAAAAGGAAAGACATTGACATATGAAGTGTACGTATACCTTTCTGGCTCATGCATGCAGGCAGCACTTGACTGTGAGAAATCCCAGGATGCGTTAGTAGGAATTTCATATTTCAGTTGTCCGCCAGATAGCTTCTTTTATTTCTACACGTGTTGCGATGGAGCGTACTTCGAGTGCTGCATTCAGTTCGAGCTGTGGTTTCTGTGAGTTTTCCCTTTCATTAGTAATGTTAGCATCTTGGGGTCGGACGATTGCGTCAAGTTAATTCAGTTCATTAATTACACCACTGAGCAATTATGGATAGCGAATTCGTTGTGACTACGATTCTTCTAACATTCTGCGTCCGACTAAACTTTCAGAGTAAGACTGCCTAGGTGACAACATATTAAAATTGCCAGTGCGATCATAAGACATAAAATGAACATTCATGGCTTTCTAGTCCTCATTTATACAAAAGTAGAATTTTTTTTTTTGGCGAGAAAATGATTTGGCGGACCCGAAAGGCAAGAATGTTAAAATTTTGTGAGGATATTTCTTGCTCATGTGCAAACCAAAGAAACAAATTAAATTTAGCTAAAGCTGGCATATACGCCCACTTCTCATGTAAGGTCACGTCAAATTTCAAATTGGCAGCCTGTTGATTCGAAGGCAGGAAGCTGTAATTTTACCAAGCTGCTCTTTGCCCACATTTGTTCCTGTAAACGCAAAATGAGCACTCACGTTCTCCACACTTCTCTCACGAACACGTGAAAATTGGCGCCAACGACTCTGTAATTCCGAGCATGGTTCACGATCGTTTTTGGGCAAGAGCATGTAGAAAAAACATTCATGTTCCTCTGCACCATTTGCTCGGATACGTGTAATTTCGCGCTAATTTTGCAACTCTATACCACAACAGCTAGAGCGCTTATGCGCATGGTCCATTGGCATGTTTTGAGTTTCTTGTCCTCTCATATCGTGTGCTTTGCAATTTGAGCTGACAGTTTTTGCATGACAATTTAATATCATGAAAACAAACCCAAGCTGCGACGCATCAGGCTTACCGATGCGAACATGCGTTTTTGCACTACACTTGAAGTATTCAGACTGTTAATAGCGTAAACGGTTCCTGCGTTGCAGCTTAGCACGCAGACTCTTGTTTAACAGGTCTTGGCCTTTTATTGTATGCAAGGGCACGACCGCCGCATGAAATCATAATTTCCAGCATGCGTAATTACTGTTAATTTTCGCTGATCGGCCGTTCATCTTTGAAGCTCCTTAAGACACTGGTCGAACGCAATACAACTTTATTAAACAAAACACATGATCGTACAGCCGAACTGCAGAAGCGAACGGACGATGGAAACGCGGCACAGCTGAAACACAAATATTAGTATTAAATATACTAAGAATCACAAGCAATATCACAGCCTTTCACACACTTTTCAAATCAGGAGGAAAATCTCGAGAAGGATCATTGGAAGCAGGGAGATCTCACTGCTGTTCATCCCCGGATCGTTCTGACTTTTCCTGCGCGCCTTCAGTTGCTTTCCTTACACACACACACACACACACACACGCACACACACACACACACACACACTCACACACACACATACACATACATACACACACAGAAACTCTCCTACGCGTTTTTGCACTCTCATTATGCAACCCATGTTGGATCGCACCAGGCTTGCCGATTCGATCATGCGTTTTTGCACCAGGCTTAAAGTACTCAGGTCACTGACTGAACCCAGGTTGGAACGCACCAGACTTTCCGGTGCGATTATGCGTTTTTTACACTAAACTTGCAGATTGCTATTAGCATGAATGATCCCTAAGCTGTAGCCTAACACTTGGGCTCATATTGACCCTGCTTTGATCGTTTCCGGCATGCAGGAGGAAGGGCGTCAGCTGGGATGAAGGTGGTACACTATAGAGCAGCATGAACATCCAGGTCATGATTACCGGTTTTTTGCATGAAGTCCGGTCGTTTTTTCGGTAAGTGCTCACTTTGTGAAACGTAGGCTGGAACGCACCAGGCGAGCCGGAGCGATCATGCGTTTTTGCACAAAACT